AAGCACTACTATACCCAGAGTTTAAAAAGTTAATGAAAAAGTGCGTGACTACCGACACAAAGCTTATTATTTCTCAAACATCCCCGTCAAAAAAATCAAAAATCATACTTAGACTTTAATTTCAGAACTCTCATCAAGAAAATACGCAGATTATACGAATGAGAATAAAAAAAAACTTTCTAAAGTCAAAAACGATTTCTTGTGTTATCGTTTTGAGAGTAAGAAAATCTGAATCAGTCATTATATAGCCATGAGTTTGTTCTATCTTCTAGCTACACGTCACATTTTTTCACGTCAAAATCCATGGAGAAATAATAAGTTTTGTGTCGGTAGTCACGCACTTTTTCATTAACTTTTTAAACTCTGGGTATAGTAGTGCTTTCAGTGAAAGTCCCGTAACCCCATCAAACCAAAAACTTTTTCGATCGGGTGCGTTTCGTTTGGTCAGAAATGACTGCTCTTTTCTACCTAACTGGAAAATCAAAACTTCAATTATGTTTTCCGTTTCTTGGTTGGGTATATAAATATGTTCACATTCCATCTTCTATTGATGGTTTTTCTCTTTTTTATTCAACTATTGTTGACTGGAATAATCCTCCAGAGTCAGTTATTCGTCATACTTCTTTAATGTTTTTCAAAACAGCTTTACTTCAGTATCTCTCTGCCTTCTTACTTTTGCTGCACTTTTTTACGGAAAGAAAAAAAGCTCAAGTCGAAAAAATACCAGATTTAGAAAGTTTCCGTTTTTTCGTCTTTCGTGTAATTTGCCCTGTTTCCTCGGTTGAAGTTCTGAAATTGAAGTTTAAGTATGATTTTATACAATATTTCGCGACGCTTCTTTTAAAAAAATCGCTAACCTAAGAGTCTTAAAGAAACAAGACAAAAATCGAAAATACTAAGAGGATCGTTCCTTATGCCGTACCCATTAACAGCACTAAATTGGATCAAACTTCAAAGAGTTTAAAAAAATCCTTTTCGACGAATACGTTCGTTATCTCCGCTGACGTTTGTATCAACAGTCATTACTTCCAAAATAGTGTGAGAATACACTGCGTACTAATATTCTGACACCCCCCCTACAGAACGGTATGAATCCCACGACCTCAACATAAGACATTAGGTTTAACCCAACTGGCTAAGTTCGATGCGGTAGAACATTTGTTGAATATAGTCTATCGTTTTGAATGTAATCAACTGATCTTCAATCCTGGATGCTGTTGCTATATGTGTTCTATTTTCATACCTGCAAAAGTCTCAGTTGAGCAAGTGAATTATGCGATCATCTTGTATCGCCTCTAGATAAATTCATTTTGCCATCAATTTTTTTCACAATTTTTTCACATTTTAATGGATATATTTCTGATGTTCTCAAGCCGCACGAATCATCAACATTGCCAGTTCTCTTGGAATAGTAAATCATACTTATGGTTGGCCGTAAATCAAAGATCTCTTATGAATGTTTTGATTGAAGAATGTTGTCCAGTTCGATTCTCTTCCATTGGATTGAATAATAATGATTACGTAGAATAGAATATCTCATTTAGTTGATTTAGAGCGCTCAGGAATATGATTTTTGCCTAAATTAATTTTTCTCATTGGCGCCTTTTTTTCAACCAATGAGAAAAATAAAATTTAGGCAAAAATCACGTAGATTATGTCGACGCCAGAAAAGAAGTTAAAGTATAATTATAAGGAACCCGCTGTCGGATTCACTGAAAATTTTTGCACATAGCGCCCAATTTTTACCTAATTTGGTGCTGCGCGGCAAAAGTACCTAATTTTCTAATGCTTACCTGTAGCCATAATTTTTTGCGCTACAGAATATAGATGATTATACGAAAATTGAATCTGTTTTGTATCATGCTTCTTAGAAAGTATTACACTTCAGATATGTATTCACAAAAGTATCAGCATAAAACTTTATCAACAAAAGGAGCACAAAACGTGACTATGTATATAATTCCAGTCCTTAGATGCAGTGTAAAATAGATGTTTAGGCATTTCTTTCTTTTTATACCTTTGGTATGTATCCTACCAAGGTCGACCATTTGACAATAAAAATATCAGATTCGGAATCAGCGCAAAAAACTGAGTTGATCAAAGTATGTTTCTGGACGGAGAAATGAAAAGTATTTTAGTATGGAAATAAATTAATTGAAAAAAAACGTTGATGATTGAATATCCGTCACAACTGTACATTAGCCTATATATAGAAACAAATTTCTTTGAGAAAATATTAAAAGTTGATTAATGTAAATAAAACAAGTAACGCTCATCTTCGATTCACTAATCCTTGACTGAAAGATTCTGGTGCTAACGAACCCGACATGTACGGTGAGCGAAATTCGCATCTTACAGAAAATGAATTTTGTTGTCTTCGTATGATTGAATAAAACTACTCCAGTTATCTACTTAAAACTGATTTCGATCAAGTGGCGATTTAAAACTGATACGCTCAAGTGGCGTCAGGTGTCACTACTCTACTATTGTACACGGACGGACGGACGGACATTTCGTTTGTATGACCCAAGACTTTCAGTCAAGGGAATAAATTTTTGCTTCCTAAATAAATATCAGTAGATTGGAAAGAGTGAGTGTAACGGAAATTGACCGTTCCTGAGTTTATTTCAAACCCAAACTGACTATAATTGACTATACAAATCAGAAAATGATGAAAAGGCGTGAACCTTAACCACAGAGAGAAAGAGTCCAGGAAAATGTGTAGTGGAATAGCTAGAGTAGCATTGAAGCGAGACAAGAGGTCATGAACTGTATAAGGGAGAAATGTAGAAGATAATCGAAGAGAAATAACAATACACATACACAATGAGAGAAATCATTAAGAGGAGACGAGAAAAGGATGAGAAGTCGTTGGGACGAATGCATATATTCTTCACAGTGGGTAATTATGGTATTTGGATGAAATTAGTTTTTATCACTAGTAATGTTAGGTATTATGTATTTATATGATACACACTTTGTATGAATTCTACACATTTGAAGAATTAATCTCTCATGTTTGATATCATCGATAAAGCGTCGCTCTGTTATTACATTTTCTTGTTATATTTGACTAACTGATGAGGCCGATTATTCTTAAATAAAGAGTTAAACAAATTAGTACAATAGAACGGAATTAAAATTCTTTCTTTGTTGACTTTTGGTCCACTCTATATGGTCAGCACAATAAGTCATTTTGTCCATGTGAATATGAATCACTTGAAAAGTCTAAGAATCCGTCTGCAACAGACTAGCAGACTTCTAGCAGGTGTTCCTCCTAGGTGTTAATCCTAAAACATTTTAGACAACTGATGGTAAGATACGCCAACTAAAATGTATGATTCATTCCCGATAATTCCAAAGAGAAGTTGTCTAATTGTCTAATTCTAAAAAATTTTCCACATGTTCTCGATGTTCTCTAAAATTTTTGTGCCCTTTTCAAGAAAATCGGAAACTGAAATTTTTTTCCAATTCCAGAAAACGCGTTCTTTGATTCTTGTTTGATGAAAATAATTTAATATCGCTACTAATTCCATCCAGTATATCTTGAATCATAATATCATACCATTATCGTTTATTTTATCTCCAAATATACAAGTTTTAGTAATTTAACTTTATCGTAAAAATGTATACGAAATATACAAAACTTGTATATTTGGAGATAAAATAAACGGTAATGTTATGATTCAAGATACACTGGATGGAATTAGTGGCGATAAAAAATCATTTTCATCAAACAAGATTCAAAAAACGCGTTTTCTGGAATTGGAAAAAAATTTCATGATTAGAACTCATATGAAGTAAAGTTGGCGAGAGTGAATGAAGGTGATGTGATGCATGTGACATCGCTGGTAAAGTAAAAATAGAATAATGATTTCGTTCAACGGAAAAAGTAGAGAGGGAGAGAAAAGAATCTCTAAAGAAATAAGGCATACCTGAAAACGATAGTGATCATATTACCGTGCTACGGGGTAACGCCGATAGAAATATTTCTGATAATACTAATTTAGTCAGAAATCCAGGGTGGACGGTAACTTGTTTCAATGAGACAGCAGATGCCATTGCAACTCTCAAATCGGATAAACTAAACCTCGATTTGTTTGATCAACTCTGGTTTCCATTCCTCAACAAAAAAAAGTTTGATCTCATAAAACAGACAGCTGATTTATTTAAAAGTTTTCTGTAACCCATTTGATTTTTTTTAGCCTTTTCGATCATCGTAAGTTACTAAAGTAGCAAGCCATATGTACAGCGCTCGTTTATGACTAAGATGCACATTCCAGCCACGCTCTAACCAATATAGTCCTTGAAATGTTGCAGCGTAATCAGGAGCTACTGGTAGAAGTCTCTCACGTGATTCAATGCAAAAATTCAGTTTATCCAGTTCTCTCATCTCAAATAAAAATCCTTGTACTAATCGTTCACCATCGATCAAATTATATCTACATTCAAAATTCAATGAAAGACGTTTCAATATTTTGAGCTGTTTTAAAAATGACTCTAATTCTTCATAATTCATCGTAGATGCATGATGGAGTTGAAATTCTTGAAGACACGTCTATAATAAAGAGAAAAGAAATGTTATTAAAAGTAATCGTTTGCCTCTCTCACTAATCGCTTTGATGAAATTGATAACTGAAAAACATTTAAAATATTTGTTTACATATGCCATTGGCTTTGATCGAGTCTCTTGCAGAGTTCAACTGTGAATATCTCTCAGATGTTTTTACATTTTTACAGTAGCGTGAACCATTGTGAATGTGACAGTAAAAAGAACTCTCTCTGTAACGTAAAGTATAACATACAAAACTTGTGTAGGTAGCTCGTAACTCGTTTATTTTTCGACTAAGGTAATTAATGTTTCTGCTGTCAGGTTCGCAAACGTTCACTCTACTGTAAAAATGTAAAAATATACGCAAGATATCCTCAGCTGAACTCTGTAAGAGAATCGATCAAAGTCAATAGTGCATGTATGTAATGAGAAAAAATGTGCGTCAAACACAACAAATCATTCTCTTCTTGTCTATTAGCGAGGATTTGGGTCGACCGAAATTATGTAATTAATTTTGATTATTATACGACAGAGGCACTAAATGCATAATCTGGGCATATAATTTCTATGAGAAATCATATATAATTCAATAAGATTCTTATGATTTCTCATAGGAATCATATGCCCATATTATGCATTTAGTGCCTCTATCTTATCATAAGATTGGTTCAATATGAGAGCTACATAAAAGAAAATAGTGTCAATACGATTATCGTATTTATAGTATTTTCTTTTTTGTGTGCGTTAATATACGAGAAGAGAAGGAACTCATCAGTGATCACAAGTGCATATATACAAAGATCATATATAAACTGGCTAAGTGTGAAAAGCAGATTTAGAGCCATTGCAAAATGTAAGAAATATGTTATACAACTTTCGTGTTAAAATTCTCTGTTTTGTGTGGATATCTCTCGTTGTGTTCTCTCCCTTTGTTTCAAGACTTAATAAATTTAAACTATGTGAGAAAACTGTCGTGACCACTGGCGTATCCAGGAATTATTATGTAGTGGACAATTCGGCAGCCAAATTATTTTGAGAGGTGGGCAGCAATCAGGTATCCCAGATCTAAAAGACGGAAATGAGAAAAAAAAACTTCAAAATCAGACAAAAATCAGAAAAAAAATCAGAACGTTGTTTGTTCTCATACCCAAACGGTTAGTTGTACATAAAAAATTTTAGAACAAAAAATTATAGATCAAATTTTCGTTCAATATCAAACAAAGATTCTAAAATAA